GGTAGCATTCCATTGCTTAGAATTTGTAAATGACCTTTGTTGCTAAACAATTTTCTGCTGACTCGTGAAACACGCGTGCCTTTCAAATTATTAGTTTGTGTCGCTTTATTTGAATAAGTATTCCGTATGCATGCATGCCAAATGCGATCGGCACGTGAACATCCCATTTAGTGAACTTCCCGCACCCCACTTCTTGCTGAATGCAGCACCTCAATACTGATCCGCGACTGGGCGAGTGGTGCAAAACACCACTGGTGGCTTGTGCATGATAACCACTTTGACAATTGACAGACACTTCACGCACCCAATCGGTAAAAAGCCAGCAACAATTTTGCACGCCCACGAAAACCGCCCATCACATAGTTTTTAAACACGGCCTTTTGCTCAGCTGCCGGTGCTCGCAGAGCAATTTAAATTGAATTTTGTGAAAACGACAGACGCTGTCGTGTTGTTTGTAATTCAGTGGCACCGGCACTCACTAATCCCCGCCCCCAGCACCCACCCCCACCACATTCAGGTTCGACCTAACCAATGCGATAATATTCCGCAACTTGCCCTGATATTTTGCTGGTTTGCAATCAAAATAATTGAATATATTATTCAAGTTTAAAGCGGCTGCAATTAAATAAACATTTGAGCTTCCTTAATGCGATCAAATTATTCACTTACTGCCTTTGTTGTTGTACAATTTGGATAAAACTAAAACATTACAAATTATATTCATTAAACATTACTATATATTCCTTCCGTGTTCGATTATTGGAGTAACAGAATGCACGAAATTTTGAAAATAAAACCAATTTTTCATGATTCCAATCTTATCATTATCATGTGGTATAACTTTCTATACCCAATTATCACTCCCTCTTTCTATAAAAATTTGACATTGATGAACTAGTAGTTCCTATGGCAGCTATATGAAATAGTGCACCGATTTCAATGAAACCTAAGGATCTGGCGCGGCAATATAATTTACTCATCAATAACAAGTTTGGTTACGATATCTGCAAGCAAGTAAATATAAATATATATTAATATATTTTGACGACTACTATTCAACTATTTCAAAAACAGATTTTACATGAGAAGCTGTTTTTCTCATGGAGAATTAAATCGAAATTTCATAATGAAAAGCTGGTTGTTTCTAACAAAGCTGCACAATTTCTGAGTTGCAAACGAACGCGTTGGATGACAAAACCTTGAAAATAAACCATCACTTAATGCTGCCAGATGAACAAAGATGAAAACCTTTTTTGGGAAAAGATTTTCGATTTAAACCATAATCTATGCAGAAATTGTTTCTGCCGACAACCTATGGGTGGATTTGTGAGTACAGATATTATATCTTATAATCAGTTGGCGAATAGAAACTGTTTTAATACTCGATCAGTCCAAAACGATCGGAAATTAAATCCACATTCTTTATATGTATGTGCATACCGGTACAAGTGTATAGAATTTATGAATATTTGATGTTGGGAGCACGCGTCTAATGCGAAAACAGTTTAAAAAACATTTCAATTGTTCAGATTGTAAATGAATGCAGCAGCTGTGGCTCTGATTTCAAAGGTCGCACACGTGTGTGGAAAGCAGAAAGCAAAAAAGTAACACATACTAGCAACACACAAAACTTTAATTACAATTATTATGTTAAGGAAGTTAAAACGCAATTAAAAATCGCCAGTCGCCAATTTTCACCGCGGCCAATTGAGTAACGCCGCCCACGATCTACGATCTGCGATCTGCGATCCACGATCCGCGAATTACGAGTTGTGTGCGAAAATAGATGGAAATAAAAAGTTCGGATTAGTCGCTTAGGTGGGACTGGCGGCGGGGAAAGGCGGCGATTCGGACAAATTGTTACGATTTGCTGTTTCAATCAACAACAAACAATTTGCATTTGTGGTCTGGTCGCGTCTCCACTCGCTGCCCACCTCGTTTGACAAGATTTAACAAACAACCAAAAAAAAAAAAAAAAAACATACATACATATACTATTATATTTATAAAAATCAGCTGGAAGTTTGTTAACAAGGAATTCCGTCGAACTCAAAATATTGAAAGACGGCTGCACGTCAGACGACCGGACGACTGTATGAATTGATATCAATGAGTCGAAACCAGTTACCGGCTGGAAAACTACACTCGTACGTACGTTCATATCTACATATGTATGTATGTATGTATGTGTGTCTGTTTGTAACTCCCTTTCTAAGCAAAACATGTACATACATACATATGCATGTATGTTTGCTTCAATATTGTGTGCAATGTCGTCGACTGGTGCTAACTGATTAAAATAAAGTCATTGGACTGCGTTAAATCGAAAATCATTGGCCGCATCTTTACGGGCATCTATGACTGTGAACTTCAACATGTTGCCATTAAGTGAATACATATGTACTATATGTATGTATTTCTTGTTTGTCGCATCCATTTAAATAATTTATTTTGGCGCATTTCATTTATCAAAGCGGCTCGACTAGGAAGTACTCGCATAAAATCTTCAGTTTTTGGCGAACTTAAGCTCAAGTGGAATCCCATGAATTATAGCTTACACCAGTAAATAGCTAATCAGCTAGAATGGAAACATTCAACTTGTATAAGGTTAGTAATTGGCAAGTAAATGCACATTTTTTAGAAAGCTTCTACCAAAGGCGTATCGGCCTCTCGTTAACAATCTAGACAGTGCATTCATTTAAGCGTAACATTGTAGCCGTAGTTCCGAACCGAACAATTAATGCAGGGGCATGCAAATTAGCCAAGTTGAGCTATGTAAATAAAATAATGTAGTCTAAGCTATTAACACATATTTCTTGTATTTTATGGATCAACGCTTGGTCTCCAGCACACATTATTGGGTTTCTGTTTTGAATGCATGTCTAATCAAATGTGAGTATTCATGTATACGACGAGTATGTTTCATCTGTTTTTCTTCGGTATTTTTCCTATGCCTTTGAAATTTGTGTGTAGATCGAGCCTTTTTGATAAAACAAATGCATGTGCATGGGGCCGACATTCCTTAGCTATTTATTGTGTTTAGATAGGAGACACCGAAAGGTCTAGTTCGAAACACTTGGAAACACGAAGCGATTTATAAAATTATAGTGTACATTTATAGCATTGTTGTCTAACATTTCTAATAAACAAATGCATGCAGTTGGAGTTCGGTACGACTTTTGATGAATACTTGCTTTAAGCAGAATATTGGAAACCTTGTGATACTATTCGTACTCAACATAGTACCTCAAAGGGGCTTTTGTTCCATTAATTTCATGTATATAGAATATTTGAATGAATATTACGCCCTAATTATTTAATAAAATTCTTCTAAAAGCCTAATTTCGTAATCGAATGAACAAATCACAATTTTATTTGGTACAATAATAGACTGACTAATAGAAGAAACAGTTTTGTCCTTGTCTTGGGGTATCTGTCCAAAAAAAGCACTTCCTTGATGCTATTTTGGAAGAATGTTCTTTTTGTATACTATTGTTTCAATATTATTTTAAAGTTACGAGTTATCATAAAATGTAATATTTGTCCAACCCAGGATAGGTCTTAAATAAAGGATAAGATTAACAATTAATTACCTTTCGGAAACGGGTTTCGAGACCAGAAAAGGTGGTTGCAAAAATGCAACCAATGGATAAGTGGTTTGAGATCTGTTTATAACATACTAAAGATATCTTAATAATTGTATTCGAGAATAAAGTTGATCAAGGGCTCCCCTTATAGGTAATGTGAACATTTTTCTTTGTGTAAATGCAACTTCCAAGAATATATAAATTATTTATTCACTTTTGTGCTCAAAGAAGAAACACAATTAATGATGCTTTGGCTACAATGGAAATGCTTTAGATACTTCTTGGCTTAAATCCCATTAGCAGCAAATCTTTTTTGAAAGTAACGAAAGGGTGCCATTTAAAATGCTAACGTTCAGCATGGAAATCCATTTAATTCAGTGCAGCTATACTTATAAGTATTCTTCTAACGACTCGGCCAGTTATGCTAGCATTTTCTGACTGGGACCAGCGATTCCCTTAGCAATTTCGCAAAATAAACTTTCCACTCGCACCATTAGCAAAAAACACCAATACAAGTAATAATGCCTCAACGTAGCATGTGGGAACAAAGTGTCGCATAGACGACTCATTAAATGCTGTAAACACGAAAATGATTTGCTGAAGTAGGCACAAAAGCATTGTTGTTGTTGGACTTAGTAATGTTCAAAATATGTAGAACTTCCTTTCCTCATAAATCGTAAACAAGTGCACAGGTAAGCAAAAGGCCAAAGAAGCGCTGAAATATGAAGCCGAGTCAAGTGAAGTGCTCAGACTAAGGTTGCGACGGAAATGGAGAGATATACTTGTACAAAGTAAGATCCATACTCCGCCCCTACCTCTAACCGATAATGACAGACAATGGGAACGACGCACTGTCAAAATGTTGAGTATCATGCGAATCTGCGAACATTAAACTACATACGACCCAAAAGTACAACCAACAACTACAATAACAACAACAACAACAAGAAGAATGACAATGAATTGCCGCTTTATTGGGCTGGCCTGAACAAACGCAGCAGTGACGCCGACTATGGCGGAGGCAGCGCGGGGGCAGAGACAGCGGCAAAGTTTTGATTTTTATAAAAGACAAGGTTCGCATCAAGTACAAAACAGTTTCGTTCAAAACGCTGTCGTGTAAAGACAGCTGAGGCAGAGACAGAGACGGAGACAGAGACAGAAAAGCGGTGACGGGGAAAGAGAGAGCGAATTGAAAGATACCTATTTTCGCATCAATATATTAATTTCAAAAGTGACTACTAAGTGAGATCTCCACAACGACTGTACGATCTCATTTCGCGGAGCTCCTCAAACGTAGTTTTAATTAAAGTCTCAAAAAATATTTAAGTGCGGCAATTAAATCTCTATGTGAATTAAGCAATAAGAAAGAAACACAAAAGCTAATTGCAGTGCCTAAAACATTTTAATTATTAGGCGTATTTGTGCTCTAGCTGGCAATCAAGTTGATTAAAAACAATACTCAGCATTGAACGGATTACGCCCTCAAAATGAAGTCGAATCCGGCTTCGGATCATGTCTATTTCAATGATGGCTTCAAGTGCTCCACAATCAGCATCAATACCAACATAGCCGAACAAAATGGCGGAAGCGGAAGCGGGAGTGTGGGAGGCGGCTCACAAGGATCCAAAGAGTTTATACGTAAGTATTACAGAAACACTGTTGAAAAATATATGGACCACGAAGAATAATCAAAAAGTAAATAACCTGAATGACAGATTTAAAGATAGAAAGGAAGTAATACTTGTATAATAACAACATAGGACCTTTCGTAAGCACATTATGATGGTTAATATCAAAATCTGGCTGTTATAACGACAAGAAGAGGAGCTTAGTATGTTGTGTTGGTTAATTATGTAACCTTGGAGAAAGAGTAATTGTTATAGTATAAGGCATTGTAAAGAATTTATAAATAGTATGGCCCCACCTTATATTATAATATTGGCTTTGACATTTTAAAAACCTACAAGTATAAATGAACGGTTCGTAGCCCTTACCGTGCAATTTCGAAAGACCAGCACGCATACTCTGTGCTCATGGCCCAATCAATGAGTGAATGGGCTTAAAACACGGCCAGAACATGCGCGCCGTGTACGTGATCATGAATCATAAACTAAGTGACGAGACTAACAACAAGCACTTAACGTTATCGTTGGCATATTTTGAATGGCGGCGCACCGACTTTTTTGCTTACTCGGAATTTGTCATGGAGATTTTGAAAGAAATCCAAATTGTGTTTGCTAATTGCCGCTTTCCTGCTTACAGTGACCGAGGATGGCAAGAAGGTGAAGCCACCCCTCAGCACTATAGAGTGCACGCGGAGCTGGTTGCAGGATGCGGGCAAGCGTACCTTCAACCGGAAGACTCTTCACAAACGCTTGCCCATTCTGCGATGGCTGCCACACTATAGCTCCGAAGATGCGATTGGCGACCTGGTAGCAGGCATAACCGTAGGATTAACAGTGATACCTCAGGCGTTGGCCTACGCCGGCATTGCCGGACTTCCCGTGGCGGTAAGATATTGCTGTACAAGTAGTTGTAAAGCCAAGACTCTCAATAAATTTTCCATATTTTTTGCTTGATTGCTGCTAATTGACAACTAATGGTTTTTTACTCCAACACAGTATGGATTGTATGGCTCCTTCCTCGGCGGCTTTGTTTACGTGATGCTGGGAAGCTGCAAGGATGTGCCAATCGGACCGTCGGCCATAGTGGCGCTGTTGACATATCAGGCTGCGCAAGGTTCCTGGCAAAAGTCCGTCCTGCTCTGCCTGCTTTGTGGCATAGTCGAGCTGCTGATGGGAGTGTTTGGATTGGGTTTTCTGATCGACTTTGTATCCGGCCCTGTGTCCTCTGGCTTCACCTCGGCCGTTTCGCTCATCATATTGACTTCCCAGATTCAAAGCATTCTGGGCATTTCAGCGAAGGGGAACACCTTCGTCGAGATCTGGCGGCAAGTTTTCCAAAACATTGGAAACACCCGCGCCAGCGACACAATTCTGGGCATCACTTGCATCGTGGTGCTGCTAATGATGCGCATGTTGCCTTCTTGTAAGATCGGATCCGACCAGCAGGAACTGAACTCCCGCTTTCAGCGGATTGTGAACAAACTGCTCTGGATTATAGGCACAGCCCGCAATGCCATTCTGGTCATTGTTTGCTGCTTCATGGGCTACCTGCTGCATAGTGAGGAGCATGGAACGCCATTTGCTGTAGTTGGAGCCATTCCCGCCGGACTACCCAGCATCCAGCTACCGCCCATCTCGCTCAGCTCCAACGAGAGCAGCAACGGCGAAGCGCAGAGTTTCATAGATATGGTGCGCAGTATGGGCTCCGGTCTGATTGTAGTACCGCTGATCTCGCTCATGGAGAACATTGCCATATGTAAGGCTTTCGGTGAGTCATCTAATTGAAGCCATCTTATCTAAGTTGTTAAGTTGTTCGTTTCATGAAGCAAACGAGTCTCTAAAATACCAAAGCTAATTTCCAGATATGCCATTCGGTCTAGTGAATAGTCGGATTCCAAAATACCTTCTACATCCGAAGTAAATATTAATAATCCCAATTGCTGAAACAGTTATTAACTGGTTTATTCCATTTCCATTGATTCCTGGAGATAATATACTTGTAGGAGTATTTTATGGGACCCGCTCATTAAGTTTGTCCTAAAGTTGAACTTCAAGTTATAGTACTTGTTATCCAAAAATGAATATTCTTTTCGGCACTGCGCCTCTTTTGAGTCATGTGGTCGTCCTCAATTACCACTTCAGCATTTCACAAAACCACTTTAAAACCAAATTTGACAAACAATAGTCATCGATCGACTACTACATTCAATTCCAATTTCTCTCCAGAGGGGAAGCACAATCGCCATTTCATAAACGATTTGCAGCTCAATCTGAAAAAAACCACAAATAATTATCAACGGCTTTTGTTGTCATTTGTATTGGAATCTGATCTTTTTCAAGACTCACTGACTTGATAAAAAGAATATTGCGTTGGTATTGCACTTTGTTGTTTCGTCAACCTATTTAATAAATATGTACATATGTGTGTAACTACTCGGATAACATTTTTAAAATGCAAATTCATTGAATATTTTAGCCAATGGCAAGTCGGTGGATGCTTCGCAAGAACTAATTGCTATTGGAACGGCCAACATCTTTAACTCCTTTGTGCAGGGATTCCCTGGCACGGGCGCCTTAAGCCGTGGCGCGGTCAACAATGCCAGTGGCGTGCGAACACCCTTGAGCAACATTTATTCGGGCGCTTTGGTAATGGTGGCTCTCGTTTTCCTCACACCATACTTTTACTTCATACCACGACCTACGCTGGCGGCTATCATCATTTCTGCCGTTGTATTCATGGTCGAGGTGAAAGTTGTCAAGCCAATGTGGCGGGCCAAAAGTAAGTTATCTTCACAATACGTACTTGTATATGCAAAATCTGATAAAGTTCTAAATGAAATGAGAGAATAGTTCAATAGTCAATCGAGAAATTCAGAAGCGACAACATCGATAATTTACCATACGTGTAGTACAATTAATTGTCATCATATTTCCAGAAAGTGACCTGGTGCCCGGAATTGGGACCTTCTTCGCTTGCCTGGTGCTACCGTTGGAATGGGGCATTTTGATCGGCGTCGGTCTTAATGTGATTTTCATTCTGTACCATGCGGCCCGCCCCAAGCTCAGTACAGAGCTTCTGAGCACACAATCGGGAAATGAGTACCTGATGATCACACCCGATCGCTGTCTGATATTTCCGTCCGTCGACTATGTCCGCAATCTGGTGAACAAGCACTCGATGCGCCAGAACGTTCCTGTGGTGATAGATGCTTCGCATGTATATGGCGCTGATTTTACAGCTGCCACCGTCATAGAGTCGCTACTTAGCGATTTTAACAAACGGGAGCAGCTGCTGTTCTTCTATAACTTGAAGCCGAGCATTTGCGCAATCTTCGAGCAGGTCTCTGCAACGCAATTCGTTGTCTACTATGAGGAGCACCAGCTCGATGAATTGCTCAAAAAGCACCATTATGAACAGAAACGCTTGGAGACAGCATGAGCACAATCACGTGATAAACTTAGTTTTAAGAAACAGTTTGCTTATACCATTAGATTTACTATTTATGGTAATTAGATTTTAAGGCGTCCTTAAGTATTAGCTGCGCACAAGCACAATCTCCTACTAGAATCATTAGGCAACCAACGATAAATACAAAAATTAATGTAAAAAGCTTTTTATTATGCTGTGAGATGCTAGATTTGCGTATTATAGCTTGAAGTACAAGTATTAAGAAAAATGAAATAAAACTGAACACGTTGAATTTAAATCTTCTATATGATTGGGAATATAAGGATAAAATAATGGAATTATACGTGGGCATTTCCAATCTGACGTTATGCGACATTTGTACGACAAAATATTAAATAAATTAAATTAAAAAATTATAGCATTCGATCTTAAAGTCGATAGCCCTGACGTTATGCGACGAAAAACGGAAGTGGGTTTTGAATTGGATTACAAAATTGCGAAACTCTGCGAATTGGGATGGACTTTTTGCTTGCATTTTTTCAGTAGGCTTTAAATAAATATAAGTTTATTATTCAAGTTATATAATTAAAAAGCCACAATTGAAAGTAAATTGAAAATAAACAAAATAGCTTGCAACCTGACGTGGTGCGACACACTTTTGAAAGTCAAAATAAAAATAACTATTCCTTGATAACCAAACTTTTGAATACAATAAGTTTACTTAATTAAGCTCTGCTTTAACACACATTTTCGCGCACTTGCGATCATCAGCGTTACGCGACATTAAAAGAAGGGTAAAAGCAAATCAAAAATTAACCTTAATTGATATTGGTTAGCTCTTCTGCATTTCAAGGTTTGTTCTTGTTGTTATTGTATTTGCAAAAAGACCGCAGATGCACAATAACTCTTAAAATCGTAAATGGTAACGATAAAATGCTCTTAAAATATACACAGCTGACCAAAACCTGACATTTCGCCATCGCAACTAGAGTTTTAAAATCTTTAATTTAATAAAATTTGAACATTTCTTTTTAATATTACAAGTAAAGAAAAACTGTTAGTTAACTTTTAATTGTTCGGTTATGGTAGAACTTTCTGTGGAAATGCCGACGTACATAAAAGCAAAATGCACTCAAGATTAAATCCGCTACACTCTTTAAACCCCGAACTCAACTTGAAAAAAGTTTACAGCGAATGTATGTTTGTAACAAGTGGCAGACTCATAAATATTTACATAGTACATACAAATGTACTTTCTTGACCATTAACCGTCTGCCTTTTCGTTTGTATAAACAAAGGATAAGATCTAGAATAACCAACCATGCATACTCCTTTAAAGGTCTAAGCCGGTGAAGTTAGTGATACAGCAATTACCCCGCTGGATGTAGTTTTTCCATAACTAACTAATGCTCGGTTAGTGCCAGTGCGTCACCATGATCGGTCAAGGCCATTATTATAATGTTCTGTGCATGCTCTGTCAACAGCTGTTGTAGTTGCTACTTCTGCTAACCTGTGTACTGCCCCCATAGATACGCATAAACACACATTTACAGAATCCCGTTGTTAATGTATGCTATTCGAAAAGTAATTCGATTTTTGGCAGACAATTGGACCGCCATTGCGCCCACCGTCAAATATAAATTTGATTATTATTTTACCGAATTTGTAAAAGATTATTGTTAACTTTTAATAAAATTGTATAATATTACAAAGATCTCGTTTAATTGTCAATATACAGACCATTACAATTAAATGTTATTAATTTACGAATAATTGTTGTGCTTACAGTATTTAAACGTATGTCTCTACCTTCGTGTTACATATTTTTTGTTTAAATTAGTTTTCATTTAGTTTGCTTAATTTAAAAAAAAAATTTAATAATTTATCCATTTGAATTGGCGAACAAAACGGGCTCTGGGACATTGCGCAACACTGGTATATTGCGTTTCATAACATGTAACTTTTGCCAGACGCTGAAGTGCACGTGTGCGGCTTTGGTATTTTTTGGTGCTTGTTCTAACAGCCCAAGCAAAACACATCCGAGGAATTGTCCGCCTGTGTTGTTTTTATTAGTTAATAGTATTTTATATCTTAAAAATGAAACGATTGAGTGAAGAGCGCACCAAGATCCTCTTTGAGAAATTGTCCAAATAGTAAGTACGTTCAAGTTAAATAAATAAACTTGTTACAATTCATGTATTTTGCAGCATTGGAACAAACGTGAAACAACTCATTGACCGCGCCGACGGAACCTACTGCTTTAGGGAGCATCGCGATCGGGTTTACTATGTATCGGAGCGCATACTTAAGTTGAGCGAGTGCTTTAGCCAGAAACAATTCGCCTGCGTCGGGACGTGCTTTGGGAAATTCTCCAAGACCAATAAATTGAAGCTGCACATAACGGCGCTTTCGTTCATTGCGCCCTACGCTCAATACAAAGTGTGGGTGAAGCCTTCGTTTGAGCAACAGTTCCTCTATGGCAACCACATACCCAAATCCGGGTTAGGACGCATTACCGAAAATGCAGCGCAGTATCAGGGCGTTGTAGTATACTCTATGAATGATTTGCCGCTGGGCTTCGGTGTCCTCGCCCGTTCCACCACTGACTGTAAATCCGCAGATCCGCTGACCACAGTTTGTTTCCATCAATCGGATATAGGAGAATACATACGGGCGGAGGACTCGCTGTTTTAGGTTAATATTCGACGTGCTTAAGACTTGTATATTAAAGAATTATTTCATACACTAAAATACTGATATGGATGATTTAGAAAAAAACTCGGCTTCGATATTAATTTCTGTGAGCTCAATATAGTTTCTGAAATTGATCCTATACCAGAGATGGGTCAAAACTATTCAAAGCATAACGTGTGGCAGGCCACCTTATTCAAAAACATCTCGAATCTCGGCAGTGGCGCACAATTCTGTGAATTTACTGTGATAGCATTTTTACTCGTGACATAGGAACAGTTAGATACAAAATGTACATCTCTATTCAAGAAAGCATCGATACTATCGCGGAAGGAGTTGTGACAGTGGCAGAATGTTATTGTTTTACCAGAAGTAGTGTATAAATATAAACACATAAAGTACAATCAAGAATAGTAGGTAGTGCAAAAGTTTTGCACAGCATTCGGAAGTTATTTTAAATCGTAATGGCGCAACAGATGAAAACAGTTGCGGTATGGTTTATTTTGCTACTTCAGAGCATAAGTAAGTATTAGGCGCCGACAGAGCACAGCCTGTGCAAAACTATAAAAATTGTGCTTTTAAATCTGGCGAAATACTTTTAAAAGCTGCAAAATTTGATTATAACGATGATTAGTGTAATGGCTGAAAAATGTCTCATATTTCTTGATGAAAGTGTTTCATTGAAACTAATGAAGTATTAATGTCTATTTAAATGAACTTAACTTAATAACCAATACTTATTATGTTCAAAAAGGAAGTAAAACGCAAAATTGTATATTTTACGAAAAAGATACACACGATTGTATGTAATACATAATGTATTTTAGTTCTTATATTACAAGCCATTCTCTACGGACCCGTAAAGCAAAACAAAAACCATGTCTGACTCACTTGATTTTCCGCTTTCTTTCTCTTCTCTTGTGTAGCTTATGGCGAACGAACGCGTGATAAAATGTATCAACCAATTGTGGGGGCAGCCTGCTTTCGGCGTCTGAATGGCACGCACCAGATCGGATGCTCATGTAAATTGATAGATTGTTTTGTTGAGCTACAAATTAAATGCAATTCTTATCTCTTGAACGACAGCTACGTATTCGGGCTCAGTGGGCGTGCTACACTTGGTCAACATCGAGGCAGATCTGGACTTTCTGCTTACAAGCCCTCCATCACCACCATATGCACCAATGATACCACCTCATCTGTTTACACACCGTAATTTGTTACGCCTAAAGGAAGCTGGTCCAGACATTATCTCCGTGGTGTTGCTCATCAATCGTAACTCTGACAAAATGACTCAGTTTTCGCATGAGCTCAATTGCCCAAATCAGTACAGTGGCCTGTTAAAACCAAACATCAGCGAATCGGCGACTTGCGATGCCAGCAATCCGCCCAACAGTTGGAATCCCTGGGGCACGGGGCTCCTCCACCAAGACTTTCCCTTTCCTATCTACTACATAGCGGATGTTAACGAAACACAGACACTGGTCAACTGTTTTGAAAAATTCAATAACTTCGATTACGAATCACACGCGCTGCGCAGTCTTTGCGCAGTGGAGGTTAAATCCTTTATGTCGGCAGCTGTTAACACGGAAGTGTGCATGAGACGCACAAACTTCATCAACAATTTGGGCAGCACTAAGTACTGTGACCCCTTGGAGGGGCGCAGTGTATATGCAACGCTCTATCCCCGAAATTCTCCCGAAAACTTAACCACGGAAGTGCCGCGTAGTGTCAACACAGCAGAGAAGTTTATATTGGTGACAACTCGCTTAGATACTACCTCCATGTTCGATGGTGTGGGTAAGTTTATGGAAAAATTAATTGTACTAAGAATGCACGGCGTTATGAAATATGTAGTTTTGTGATCTGCAAATAAAAAACATTATGCAAAGGCACTATAAATAACTTTTAAAAATAGACAGTTATGGCTATATCCATTTGCCTCGTCATGCTAACCATATCTGTAACTATAACAAGAGTTCTGCCACATAAACATTCTCTACGCTCTCTATTATGCCCCTACACCGTTTCTGGACGGGGTATGGTTAAATTTAAGTCTTAAGTTGTTAGAACATTTTCTTTTTCCAGCTTATTTGCTTAATTTAATAAGTTGACCTTGTTGATCTTCTCTTAGGTCTGGGCGCACTGGATTCTTTGATGGGTTTCGCTACATTGACGCAGGTCGCTCATCTTTTGCGACAACTGCTGCCGCCACAAGGATCGCTACCTGATCCACGCCGTAATGTGTTATTTGTGGCGTTCAATGGAGAATCTTTCGACTACATAGGATCCCAGCGTTTCGTCTATGATATGGAAAATTTGGTGTTTCCCGCGCGGTCCACGAAATCCACACCCATCTCATTTGAAAACATTGAATTCATGCTGGATATAGGCACTTTGGACGACATAACAAACATCAAGCTGCATACGTTGATAACAACACCTTTGGCCCAGGATTTTCTTAAGAAATTGAACAATTACGCTAGCTCGCCGCGGTATGGATTCAATCTAGACATTCAGTCGGATGTTGGCATCCAAATTCCGCCCACATCGGCACAATCATTTCTACGACGAGACACTCAATTTCCCGCACTTATCTTGAATGCGGTGCCTGCCAACAAATACTATCACTCTATCTACGATGATGCAGTGAATGTGGGCTTTAGCTATGCCAACACCAGTCGAGACTACATATCCCTCATCGACGTGAGCGAGTCGAAGAACTATTTTAATGCCACAGCGCTACAAATGAAGGTCGCCAATGTGTCATCGATTGTTGCTTTCGCTCTCTATGAAACGCTGACTGGATTACAGTACACTGGCAACAAAGTCGCCAATCCATTGTTGGCGGATGAGTTCCTCTATTGCTTCTTGCAGTCCGCAGACTGCCGCTTATTTAAGGCCTCTTCGTACCCCGGCAGTCCGAGTGGCTTACCTCTACCTCCGATGCGGTACGTAACATAAGAAAAGCATTTGCGCTATTATTAAATTGATCGTTTTTATTTCTAGGTATATAAGCGTTTTGGGTGGTTCGCAAGAATCATCAGGCTGGACGTATCGTCTGTTCGGATATCTACTTTCGCAGCCCCAACCTAGCGTAGCTAAAGAAAACTGCACTAACTTACCATTGCATTGGGTTGCCGGCATAAATGGCACCGGCGAGTGTCGCCTGACTACTCAGAGTTACATGGATGCGCTGAGTCCGGCATTCCTTATTGAAAGTAATTAATAAGTTATTTGATTTGAGACACCTATTTATAAATGTTTTTTTTTTTTTCAGATTACGATTGGCGTTCTGGAAAATACTCTACGTGGACTGAATCAACGTGGTCCCAATTCAGCGCCCGCATCTTTCTACGTCCTTCCCATGTGCATAAAATCACAACATTAACTATTGGAATTGTGGTTCTTGTAATTTCATTCTGCCTGATATATATCATTAATTCGCGTTCGGATGTACTTTTCGACGATGTACCTGCGAGCAATGCAGCGTAAGTGATTTTTGTAGAATGCGGAATAATTTAATCCACTTGAATAGCTTGTCACATAATTATGGGTTAAATGATTATCAACTCATTAAGTAGACGCAAACATAGATTTGCATATGTTGCAGATCATATAATACTCAATTTCCCGGAGTTAAGTTTAATTTTTGACTTTTGTGCCAAATCAAGTCATATTGTGCTAAATGTATTGTTTTGATTTTATTTTTCACTCATTTATTTATTTTCTTATCTCAATTGATTTTAGCTTATTTGGTTGATGTTTGGTTCGGGTGTATAACTCGACTATAAAATCAACAGCAACATCGACAAAAATGCCGTCATCAAGCGTAGCACCTCATATCCAAGAAATGCATAAGCATGCCGAACTTGTTCATGAAATAGTTCCTGTTTGACAACTCAGTTATATTCTGGAATGGATTTTTATTGATATATACAATTCTAGGTTCTCGCGACCCACGGCTTGTTAGAAAAGCGGCTCAGCAGGAGTTTCAAATGTACACAATGGCATACTACATTAACCAAGATACGTTAGCTGCTGCCAATCAAAAAATTCCCTTTAATGATCTGAAATTTTTGACTAAAGACACTAAATGATATTCTAATTTATCGTATTTGTTTAAGTAAAGATGTATTTCACTAATTATTAACTAATTAGTGACTTTTTGTAACATAGTTAACGTCTGAAAAAATTTATAAATATATATATATATTATCCGTATATTATATGTATGTATGCGCGTGCGAAAACTTTTTTTTGTCCATTTTATAATTCATACAAGTAATTATTTGTGACTGTATATAAAAGAAAAGTTGTTTACAATGTAAGAAAAGACAAATTTAAACTGAAAGATACGGGACAAGTAAAGAAAGGGATTCATGTACAAATACAAAAATGCCCACAATTATTTATAATTCTTTTGATAACAACACAATTGTAATCTATTTTGGCAAATTAAATATAAACCATAAACATAATCGACAAATATTAAGCATTAGGCGCTAGTTTGACTAAGTTGCACTTACATCAGCGTCTAACCTGCCTTTTCAAAAAACTTACTCAAGTGACAGATTAAGAGAGATGCGGATGCTGTTGCATTTGATAGAATGATCGCTTTTCAAATAATTTGGAAAATATATTTTAACTAACGTAAAAAAGGTATTATATTGATGAGCTCACTCTCAGGTTTTCAATTTCTTTTCACAGCACAGTTTCTATCTTGTAATAGGTACGAAGAGCTCCAACGCCAGTCCAACTCAAAGCAATAGGCTTCGTTTTAAATTAACAATGGACCCGGCAATGACGCGTGCCGAAGACTTCAAATAGCCACCGCTAAGAAGCATGACAATAGGTATACCTCGGGATCGGAACGTCTGGAACACCATGTAATCCCGTTCGATGACTCCTTCTGCGGTAATGTCTAAATTACCCAAGGGGTCACCTTTCAGCACATCCGTGCCGGCATTATAAACGACAATATCCGGTTGGAAGTCAGCCAACGACTGCGACAAGCACCTGTCCACAAAATACAAAATGAAGTCTAAAATAGACGTACCGAAAACATGCTATTATGCCTTCTCACCTGCGCAACTGTCGAAGGTAGTAGGCATCCTCAGTGCGGTGTTTCAGCTCCACAGCGCATCGTATGCTTAACTTGGCCACATGGTCCCTCGGGTAAATGAACGCATTGTACATATCAAGAATATAGACGAACTCATTGCCTGCAAAGTCACGCTCGTGCCCATTACCCTGGTGTGCGTCCAAGTCCACAATCATGGCACGACGCACTCTATGCGGTTCCTGCTCAAATAGACGTACCAGCATTAGAGTAATGTCCGCGTAGGGACAAAAACCGCCACCTCTAGAGGCGCAACAGTGGTGAAAACCACCGCCCAAATTAATGGCCCAACCATGATCCAGCGCTAGTTTCCCAGCCAATATTGACCCAGCAGCTTGGAAGCGCATCGGGCGCAGGTAGCCGCGTTGCACGTAACAATTGGGAACGAAAACCAATGGCGGCACCTCGGCTATGCAGGCCACATTAAAGCTCCAATTGAGGGAGCGCAGGTACTTCCGTGTGTGCACCCGCTGAAGCTCCTCTTTGCTTAGCTCAGTGGGCTCGTAAAAATTACCGCTTTCAAGGACAAGGTCATCGAGCAGAAACTTAAAGACAGTGGAAGTCGGTTAAGTACGTCGGTCTGTAAAATATAGTTTAGATAGCCGTATTTACTTTTTGTATATGCTGCCCCTTGGCAGCATCAAAAGGATGCAGCTTCTCTAGGCCTGCAAATCGAACACCATAACGTTCGGAGTAAACAATCGGAAGCTTTGTTTTTATTGTCCTTGCATCATCTACCATTGGGGCTTGCGACGCCTTCACGTCTGCTTGTCTCACCCAAACCACTTCATGTTGCCCCTTTTCCTCATGATGCACTTTTTCGGTAAGTTTCTTCATCACTTCATTATTGAATTACATTTTAAAATACATGGGCCAACTCTAACGCAGCTTAGGCGAGCTTTATTTCAGTGTTGAATAATGCTTGGGCATAATCTGGAGCTAGAGTCGCAAGCTGACAGATATGTAACTGAACGTATATATAGCAAAACAATTGGTGTAATATGACGAATAGAAAGTACCTCACAGAATCATTAGCTCAAAGATGCAATTTCTGCAAATGGTTTATATCTATAATGGAATAATTTAGCAAAAATGTAAGCTTAAAAAGTGACTAATTAAAATAAGTTAAAACTTCAATACACTGTAGTATACTTTAGTTGTTTAATCCACTTATAATGTATGTCGACAATATTTGAAATGTATAAAAGCAAGCAATTAGAAGGCAATTGTTTAAGGAACCAAACTGTTGAAAAAATATAGTATTACTTATTTATTAAATTAATGGATAATATAAATATAGCGTGCGAGCTACTGTTTTATTAGAAGATTGTGACGCCTGGATTGAAGATGTGTAGCCACATCTGTAAATGGAGTATAAAATAGCTTTCATGCTGAAGAAACTCGACTCTTTTACTGTTTAACATCAGTAACCTTTTTGAATTGAAGATTAATAACTAATACTAAGACTTATTAGTCTTATCAGACAGAGATCCTTGCGTTCATACAGACGGACATGGCTATATCGGTTGCGCTTGTCACCCTGATCAATAATATACATACATACATACATATATGTATACTTTGTAGGGTCTGCCACGCCTCTTTCTGCCTGTTACATATATTCGCACAAAACTAGTATAGCCTTTCACCCTTTGGGTACAGGCTACCCGACTTTAGCTTCCCTACTTGTTTTTTTTTTATAAGTTCCGTAATTCTTGGAATTTTGAAATGAATTTTGGTAGTTACATCCTGTTAATACTTATAAATAAAATCGCTGCCCATGCGCTGTCTGCAGCTCTGCCCGCAGCGCTGCCCGAAGCTGTTGTTTTTCTGCTGCTTTGGTTCAACTTTGTGCTGCATACATAAGTACACGCATAGACACGATGATGTAAATGTATGCTGTTAAAACTGTACATAAACATGTCTTCTATGTACATATGTATTAAATAAATTTTCTTTATTAATTTAATTAATTAATTCTATTTTTTTTAATAATTCAATTTAAACAAAATTTTTTTTTCAATTTTCTTTTTTTGTGGAGGGTACAGGCAACTGTCGGACTTGCTCAACTGTAGCGTTCTCTCTTGTTTTATCTTGCTAGCTGACCCGGTGTCACGAATAGCAGAATAAGTGTTAAAAAAAAATAAATAAAGAATCGACTGTTATGTGTTAACTAAGTATTAACAAGTCCCAAGGCCAAACCTTCGAATTAGTAGGGATCGGATAGTATGTTGACCTATCGCGGGTGGTAGCTCCTGAAAATCATTTTATTTAGTTGTCCGTCCGTTTGGATGAACGCCTGGATTTCGGAAACGGTCGAGCGCACATTAACCAAACTTGGCATGTTGGTATGCTCCTAGTCCCTAAGCTACACGAGTTTATTTTTTTTTTTTGATTTTCCCTCCCCTCCCCTCGCTTCAGAATCGCAATATATATTCAATTACCTACTTTTGTTTCGAATTTCACCCAAATCGGTAATTTCTAAGAAAGGTTATTTGCGAAATAATTTCTCTCCAGTACTACGCCCACAAAGTGCAGCATCTAGTTCGTTCTTCTTCTTCTTTTTGCCTCTGCTGTTTGCGCATATAACTCAGTGTCGGAGTTTCTCTGGCTACAAGGTATTTCAATGTCGGGCTTACTCAACTGTAGCGTTCTCTCTTGCTTTAAAGTAAATGCGTAGTTATTGAAAACATAATGTATATGTATATATGTATACATTTCCGATATTTAATTGATCAGTTCTTTCGGTAATTACATCATGGAACGGAAATATACAGTACGATCATGGATGTCTTGCAAGTTGCGATAATTGTTTATTACTAGCTTATCATATGAATCCTGTAGACACCAAAAATGCCTCAGCTGTAAATATTATGTTATAAAAGAGATAAAGCACAAAAATACTTGTACATACTTGTACATACATACATATGTATATAAAAGTAGGTAATACTTACGTATTTTTTGCCTACTTCAAGTGCTTTGGGGAAAACAAACCAATTAACGGCTTCAACGCAAGGTGGAGTGGTAAGCGACCCTTTGTAAAAAGGAAAATTTGTAATTTGTAGTTTAATTGTATTAGACATCTCATCAACCTTTATACGAAAAAAACTCGTCTGTCTTTATATTTGCAAATAGTTCATTCATCTTCATTTGGGGCTTTATAGTTGTAATCGAACCAAACTCCTGCAGTTGTTTGACTTGCTGAAGAATTTTGTTCAGTCCCACCGGCTCGACTTTTGGCTTCTAGATAAAGAAATTTGTAAGGCAAAACTTTTTTATTGATAGAAGACGCACCGTCACAGCCCGTAATAGAATAGCCAGTACTACAAACCCATCTGGGGAACACATGGCTTCGGACTTTGTGCTATATGCACAGTTTTTATGAACGATATGGAGCTCTCCATCGTGCCGCACGCCATCTATTGTATGCTCTGCCCCCTTAGAAGATTCTGAGCCCCAATGAAAATGCATTTGCACTGCTTGGTAAACGCTCTCGAGAACGCAGCCACAAATACCAGGTAGTGTACCATCTTCCACCGCAGAAAAATATAGTTTCGCTAGCCAAAATATTGTACACGAAGCGTGACTTGTTTATGGGTCCCGACTGACTTACCCGTAGTTCCAGTGTTATGAAATTTTAGGGGTCCAGCCAGTGGCTTATGGTAATTTAGGAAATGCAATTTACTAGCCTTTGACAAGCATATCTATGGGGATGTAGTATGCATAAAGAATCGATATCGGCAATACGGAACACAGACCTCACTTTCTTTCTATTAATAGCGATTGGAGATTGCTGTTTGCCACAACGTACATCTGAGGCCAGCTCCCAGTCATCCCCGTGATGATCATAGTTAAACGGCTTTTGTACAAAGCATGTGCGCTCTACTGCCGAGCAAAATTTCCGTATAGCTTTTACCATCAACAAATTTTGAAAAACCGTATGAATATTGTTTAAATTTAGAAAATTACCTTAAAATATATGCATCTAATTTTTGGATAAATTTAAAATAAAAGATAAAGCTAAGGCAAACATGGAAACAAACAAGAAATAATTGCTAAAGTCGAGCAGGTCCAACTCTTAAATACCCTGTACCACCCCACAAAAAAAATTTATTAAAAAAATTTAATTAATTTATTATGGTTATATGGCTATAACTTTCTTTCTAATCAACCTATCATAATAAATAACTTGGGATACGGATATATAAGCACTAACTGGAAGTGACAAGAATAACGGGAGTTATAGAGGTGCATCGGGAAAAATGAACAAACTTGCCCTTTCTTGGGCGTAGGAGAATCTGGATACCAAGTTTGGTTATTCTAGGTCTTATACTTTCCGAGATCCTTGCGTTCATACAGACAGACAGACGAACATGGCTATATCGACTCGGCTTGTCATCCTGATCAAGAAAAAGAAAAAAGGTAGTTTTTTCCTACATGTCAATAATAAAATGCTAAATACCCCGGACATGGCTATATAAACTCGTCTTGTTATCCTGATTAACAATATACTTACATGCTTTGTGAGGTGTGCAACGCTCACTTCAGTGTATTACATGTACACTCGCACTAAACTAGTATACCCTTTTTCCCTTTGGGCACAGGGTATAAAAACCACAGCAATAGGTAAATTCGATGTTGAATTTGGGGACTATGATAGTATGATTGTAAATTACATGTCGTTTTTTCAATCGTTAAAACTGCTAAAGAAATAGTGACGACACGCCCCTGTAATAGACTGGTCGCTGATTCGTATCCTGGATGGTTCGATAATTATTGATTAGGGGAGTGCCGCGCGAGTCCTTCAATTGCCAAAATTTCATTATATGCCTCTCGGGTATATTGATGACATCGGGGAAGACAGTCCATGTCACAGCCTCGGCGCAATCTGGCGTTGTCAAGGAACCTATAAGCAATGGGAATAATAAGAGACTGGCGATGTATTGGCTAGCGAGTACTCACCATTGTAGGAGTAGAACACCCCGACTATTATGTTGCCCAAAAGTTGGGCCATATTTAACTGCCCCGGGATGGTGGTATTGGTATTATACTCCACAATACGCGGCAACTGATTGAAAATTTTATTCAGTCCGTAATACTGCGAGAAAGGCTGCGGTTGCGCTCCAAACATAACAGCCAGCACAGCCAATCCATCTGCGTTTTGACTAGCCTCTGCCATGGATTCGTAGCGCCGGTTCTTGTGCACAATGTGCATTTCTACGTCATAGCGCATAAAGTTAATGGAGTGTTCCGATCCCTTGGATGAGTTCGAGCCCCAATGAAAATGCACACTTTGCACCTCGTACTCTCCACGTAGAAGTCCACCAGTTATGAAGGGACGCTGGCCAGTTCGGGTGGGTGGTATAACCATGTTAGCTGTATAAGGAAGGTCGTGGTCAAGAAAAAGCTTCGGTGGGGCTTTCTGCGGCACTCACCTGTGTGGCCGTTGTTCATGAGAACCAACGGCGTGCGCAGAGATTCCCCGTAGTGGTGAAACTGTATTCGCGGTATAGTGTTGTTCTTGATGGCCTACAGAAAACAATTTTTAAGTTCGTATCGTCGCTAGCTGCTCTGTGTACTTACATCATCATATAAGAGATCAATGGGTGACTGACTCTGCCCGATTTGACACAAGCCTGTCCAATCATCGCCATTGTAATCGTAGTTATACTCGCCAGCTGCCCTATCTTGGGCCCGATCTATTAGTATGTCATTAAGGTATTCCTGGCTTATCTCTGAAAGTGTGAATTTCTTTTAAATATCCATGTGACCCATATCCAAATCAAAGCTACAACTTACGTATATAAGCCTGAGAAAATGCAAAGACTCTCAGAAAACCAAGCAACTGGCATGAAAAGATAACAAAATGCATGCCAAACTATTATTTTTTGCTATTTCTTCAAATAGATAATTGTTTTGTTATATATTTCCAGGCACGATGTGTTCTAGTCGGCGCTTGCAATTGCACTGCGACTTTTTGCGGCGCACAGGACCATTTATAGGTGCCGGGCCATCGTCAATTTACAATCTTCTTTTTGATAAGCTTACCCGGGCTTAGGCCTAGTGTGCAATTTACATGCAAATTGCAAATCGTTTTATAGTTGCTCGGTGGAATCTCTGCTTCCACGTTGCCGATGGTACTCTGAACGAAAAACCTGCTCCTGCATCAAAATTTCTCGCGGCCCATCCAGTAATTAAGGAGAGCTGTAAAATCTGGTTCAATAATAACAACTTTAGGCGATTGCGCTAGATAACTTACTTTACATTCCAGCAATATAATCATGAAGATGAGTAAACTTGCATATACTATTAAAAAATAGTGCCACTAGACACCGACAACACTAGTACACTCTCCACTGTTGTACATACTTGTATGCTTATATTTGAAGTCATTCATTCTTATTATACACTGTACCCAAAGGTTAAAAGGGTGTACTAGATTAGTGCGAATGTATGTAACACATAGTCGCTCCTCAACAGGCCCATCAAAGTACATACATATATTCGGAATTTTAATCTCAAATTTGACAATGACATCCGGTTAGTGCTTATGTGTTTCCGTGCTAAATTTAATTATTAAAGGTCTTATGTTCTGTCCATGCAAACAAACTTGATCTGCCTAGAGCTTGGGCCGTTGATAACTGAGATCCTTGCGCTCATACAGGCGGGCAGACAGACGGACATGTCTAAATCGGTTCGTCTTGTCATGATGATCAATAATACATACGATAGTACTATTGTGGGGTCTGCCACACAGGGTATACAAATAATTTATAAAATATTGGTATTTTCCTTTTTAAAGGAGTGGGTACAGGGTATATAAGAGGTGGGCCTTCTAGTTTTCTCTAGTCTTCTCTAGTTTTCCATTCTTGTGTTTATGCACTGTACCCAAAGAGTTAGAGGATACAAGAATACTTGTTTAGTGCGAATGTATGTGACAGACAAAATGAGGCGTGGCAGAGTATATGCATATATTCTTGATTAGCATGACATGACGAACCGATTTAGCCCTATCTGTCTATCTGTCCGTCCATATACAGTCTTTTAAGACACCAAGTCTGGATCAATTTGTGCCGTGGTGCTGGTGATGGCACTCTCCCTTCTGTCTGTTGTAAAGTCTTATTATGAACAACTTTCTGTGCGCTTCAGTGAAAAGAATAATGATGAGTTTGTAACACCAAGAAGGAAGATTGGTTGACTACATATTAAAGATACATAAATGGTCAGCATGACTAGACGAATTAAAAACGCGGTCTCCTTCTCAGCCCTGAGCTAGCATGTTCACGACTAAATGTAAAAATATAAAACTCTTATGTAATTAAATGATTTAAATGTATAATTTTTAGTCGAAGGGCCGAGTAGCTAGTTCTCGTTAATCTAATATTAAGTTTAGTATAAGATACTAGATTGAATCTGTTAAAATAAAAATAAATAAAATGTATAATTTAGAAGAAAGGGTAGAAAAGGTAGTTAAAGGAAAGCAAAGGGAAGGGCAAAAATACGGTGCAGACCAAGATAAATTCTTAGTTATTCGACCAGGTACGCGCAATTGTTAAATTTGATATTTTGATGCTGATCATGTATTCCATTCCTACTCATGTGTTCCTGTGATAATAAAACGATTTTGTGTTAAAAAAACGTTAATGCCAATAATAAAAAGAGAAATGGCAATATATCAATCATAAGGACCATATCTGTCATTGCTGGTTCTTCATTCCTCTTTACAACAAAATAACGTTATAATGTCAGATGTATGTACATATATGTACATATACATGAAACATATGTATGTGTTTCAGCTATGTAACAGCTATGTACAATCTCAATCCGATATAGATTTGAAGAATGTTCTTCATGAAGAAGAGTGGGTGGAAGTTGGGATACTGAGCCTGATTTCCAGTCTTGTAATTCAAATCTTTATTCTTCTTATAAAAAAGAACTTCTGACACACACACAAATTTCTCAAATTATATTTAATATTATTAAAGCTGATTAAAAATTAAGTTTTGTGGATAAATATTTGGGTAAATTATTTGCCTCTATGACCGTAGCAAAGTGGACAGCACAGGATTATTACAAATAACCTTGGTGCTAAGGGCGATAAAATACCGTGCGATTGTTAAGGGGTTGAATCTGACGGTAGTTGGGTTTTAAATGTCCTCCATTGGAGTCCTGTATGCTCGAAAATATAGACGTCAGTAATTTTGTCATCGTCAACTCTTGGGCAAATACGATCCAAGTGACGGACTCCTCGCAGTTCCCTGAGGTCAGCGAGCCATTATATGTGAAGAAATTGTTTGCTTTTAATTTCGGAAATAATTCATTGAGCCGAGGACCGGACCCCCTAAAAAACTTAGGGTTGACTGTCCTGGTTATTGCGTTTGGCTGTAAATACATAATTACTAATTATATTCATGTATGCAGCTAACAAATGTGAAACTTACTCTACCGAACATATACATAATGGCCAAAACGGCTAATCCATCGGGATGTTTCTTCGCTTCATTCATATCAGGATAGCGCATATTTCGGTGTACAATATGCATCTCTATATCGAATCGTTTGTTATCAATTTCGTGCTCAGACCCTAGCGTTTCGGCTGAACCCCAGTGGAAATGGATGCTCTCTGCTTCATATTGTGTATTTAGCGAAGCTCCAATAACATATGGCTTGTGGCCACCAGTTGTTTTTGGAATTATCAAGTCTATGTAACAAAGCAATAAATAGACATATGCGCTCCATAAGATATCTTTAACTGACCTAGATGTCCATTACTGGATAGCTTCAGCGGACTTTCCAAGGGCACATCGTAGTATGCTAAAAGTAATTCCGGCATATTCGCTGTTGATGTGGCAGCACTCTGCCAGTGTTGACATGGCAACGCTTGCCAGCAACATCTGCTGGCAGAGCGCTGCTAGCGTCGGCGGCCTCTCCCTCTTTCATATGGGCAGCTAAGCGCCACTGCAATTAGGTTAAGTTTAGTTTCAAATTGTCATACAAGTGAAGAATATATATATACGTGCGAGTCACGTCACAGTGAAAAGGAAAGCAGACGCCATTTTACTTCCCTTGCGGTTTTTGGACTTTCACCCCCAACGCCCCACGCCAACATTGTCCTTCGAGCCGGATCTTCAGGTGCACCTCCCGTTCCTTCCAAGTCCTGTGCAGCCTACGACCGTTCGCCCCAGCTTGTTCCTGGCGTTGGATACCTGCGAGGAGAAGCAGCTAAGTAAACTATTTACTTGTGGCGCGATACTTACGCCATATTTGTTCACTGTCGGTCTGTCCGCCGACCCCCACAACGGAACAGCATCCCGCTGTCCGTCCCTTATCCAAGGGCCTCATCTCGTCTAACGCCGGTACCGCGCTGGTCCGCTTAAACGAAAAGTGAAGTGCAACAATTAGCAGGTTCAACCCGAACTCCGTCCGTTTGCGTTTGCATCTTGGCATACTTGCGCATATTCTTTCCCATATGCAACAAGTGTCCAGTGGGAAACACACCTGTTTTACCTGCACGTTCCTAATGCACAATTCACACCACATAGTTTTTGCATGGTCCGTCACACAATAGACATATTTCCACATATGCTTATATACATGCACTTTATATACATGCACATTACACAATAAACATATTTCCACATATGCTTATATACATGCACTTTATATACATACATGCACATTATACAAGAGACATATTTTAACATATGCACATACACATATATACAGCCGCTGCGTATAAATCTATACACGTTTTCATATATCGGCAGCGGAAACAAACGTACGTCCGCATACGCTGATATATATATATATATATATATATATATATATATATATCTATATACATTTGAGTCCGCTATAAACACATCTGCATGCACTAAATATACGAACCATAATATTTACACACAAACATATTTACACTCATATATTTAATTACTAACACAATCCTATACACTCACCGGTCGGTCCACGACTCCCCGCTACGTGCCAACACTCCAGTTGGTATTCCTTATAGCCCGCGCGATATCCAGCGTCGGCGCTTGTGCGAAAATTAAAACATATTGCGGTTTTGCACTTAAAATTTTTACTTACCCATTAAAGGTAAACAAGTGATGACACTTGTGTAAAATCAGTTATCGGAAGCTACAATCATCGAAATTGGAGTGTGACCAGAAACTTGGTCACGGTAACGAGTCACAGCTGAATTATTAATTTCGATAATCACTGTGACCAATTGCTACTGGCGGTCCGCTATCCCGGAAATCACTTAATAAAATTAAATACAGTTACTTTATCCCAAAAAGTAACTTAATAAATTAAATAAAATTTATTATTGTTTTTTTTTTATGTTTCTTTGGGATTCCTTGTCGCATACCAGCGCCTCCAGCTGGTCTTTCTCCATCAACGTAATTGCGTGTAGTTTTTGCTGCGATTTTTCAGCAACTTTAATAAAATCAAATAAAAATAAATCCAAATTTTTTCGGTGAATACACATATCCTTGTGGACTTTTTCCCGAACCTTTCCAGCACCTCTACCTGGCAGTTATTTTATCCAGCTTTAATTTATATTTATTTTTGGGTTTTTTTTTTGTTGGTTTTTTTGGATTCTTCGTCGCATATCACCGCCTGCAGCTGTCCAGCAACTTAATTGCACATATATTTATTGCTGCCGCGGTGTTTAATTAATTTTAATAAAACGAACATAGAGAAAAAAACGAAATCCATTTTCTCTTTTATTTCGGTGGCTACACATATTCTTGTGACCTTGTGTCCGACAAGTTTTCAGCACCTCCAGCTAGCATAAGCCAGTTAATAAAACTTGTCGCAGAATTTTGCGCGCCATAAGCGGTCAGCAACGCCGTTTTCCGGCGGACTCATACCCGACCTGCCTCAAGTGGGCCCACTCTAGCAGGCTCGTGTGAGAGCCTAGTATGCCCAGTGAAGGCGAGGAGGACACGAAGAAGCATTTAGTCCATCCGTCTACCTCGGTCGCCCCATCCACTTCTCAGCGTTTGGCCGTTCCTTCTTCTGACGCGCAATCCAGTTCGGTTCCGACACCGTCCCTTGTAAAAACAGTTTCGCCGTCGACGTCAAAAGGGGTTATTCCGAAACCACCGTCGTCGTTGAAGAAGGTTTCGCCCTCTACCTCCAAGAGGAGCAGTCCGGGTTCACGCTTGTTGTTGAAAAAACCTTCGCCTTCCACCGCCAAGAAGGGCAGCCCCAAATCACATTTGTCCGTGAACGCTTTTTCGTCTCCTTCTCCAAGGAAGACCAGCTGTTCGCCACAGCTCTCTGTGAGGGTGCCCAGAATTGCGAAACCCGTTCCGTCTACTCGAGCAGCTGTTCGGATCGCTTCCAAAACGATCGAAATGGTGTTGGACGAATTCATTTCGGTCAGCGATGACCTGTGCCATTTTGAGGCACTAGTTTCTTCGTCCGACCCAGCCGTGACACTTGTCACGCAGCAGATCCAACTGGACCAAGTCAAAGCCCTGTGGGAACAGGTTCAGCAAGAGCGTCGGCGCTGTTTCCGGGCTCTGAGCCAATCAGAGTCCAGCGATTCCGACAAGCAGGCCTTACAGATGAAGTATGATCACTGCTACCGCGTCTATGAGCGGTGCGCCACTCAGCTCACCACGCGGATACAAGACGCGTCCGCGCGGAGCAGCGCTCCCGCTCCAAGTCCCGAGCCCCCAGTCAGGGGCTGTATCCTTCCGCCAGTGGACACCGAGGTTTTCACTGGCGACTACCTGAAGTGGCCCACGTTCAGGGACCTCTTCACCGCGTTGTACATTCGCAACCAGCGGTTGACAGAGGTGGAAAAACTTTACCACCTCCTCTCCAAAACTCGCGGCGAAGCGAAGGACATCGTGCGTAATTCCCCACTGACCAACGACGGTTTCGCCTCAGCTTGGAAAAACCTAACTGAGCGTTTCGAAAACAAGCGATTGTTGGTCAACAGTCAGCTCAAGGTCCTCGCCAACCTCCAGCCTATTCTTTCGGAGTGTGGCATCGCCATCAAGGAGCTCCAGAGCACAATCCAAGGGTGCTTAACGGCTGTCCAGAATGCCAAGATTGGCACCCAGGACTGGGATTGCCTTTTGGTGTTTTTCTGCGCCACCAAGCTTCCTCCAGCTACCCTTTCCTTATGGGAGCAGTCGGTAAAGGACAAGTCCGAAATTCCGCCCTGGAGCGACATGAATCAGTTCCTCTCGGATCGCTATCGCACATTGGAAGCGATAAATGATGCGACCCTGGGCCTCCGCACCCGCGTTCCAAAGCCAGCTCAAAAGGAGCCGGCTGCGAGGAGAGTCAACTCTTTCGAGACGAAGGTCCGCAACAGTCCGCAGACCTGTAATCTTTGCTCGAAGGAGAACCACCCCGTGCGCCTGTGTCCGCGTTTTCTGCAGATGTCGGTCAAGGACCGATGCAAGGTGATCAAGAATCAGAAGCTTTGCATGAATTGTTTCGCCCGAGGGCACCAACTAAACGCTTGCACAAGCCAGTACAACTGCGCTACGTGCAAGGGGCGCCACCACACTCTCCTACACCGTGGCCCCTCCCTTCCATCGGCGCCCTCAGCATCAGTTCCCCCTCCACATTGCAATCCATTACAGTCCACTTCGTCGAATGTTCAGAGCTATTTCAGCAGCAGCGTTCAGGGCGTCCTCCTCGGCACGGCTATAGTGAACGTGCTCCATTTGGGTAGCGTCTACGCCGCGCGTGCGCTCATCGACTCTGGCTCCGAGGGAACTTTCGTTTCAGAACGCCTACGCAGATCTCTTCGGCTGCCGTTCCAGAAGGTGCAGGCCCAGGTATCGGGGCTGAACGCGACCACATCTGGGCTCGCGACCAAGGTGTGCAGTGTCAAGCTGGCATCTTCCTCACAACCGAGGCGCGAAGTCGAGACGGCGGCATACGTGCTGCCGCAACTGGCAGGCGCCCTGCCATCGTTTCCCATATCCAGCGAAACCTTGAGAGATCTTCCTGACCTGCCGTTGGCAGACCCGTGTTTTTTCCGAAGCGCCACCATCGATTTGCTCATCGGCGCTGACATACTACCTGCCGTGCTGCTTGGCGGCACCCGGCCAAACGTCTGCGGCTCGCTGCTGGCACAGGAGACCATTTTCGGATGGATTCTGACCGGACCAGTAGCGGCGGCAAGGAAGACGGCCATCCGTTCCTTCACCACGCGCATTTCAGCAAGCACACAGCCATCCTTGGATCAGCTGCTCACCAAGTTCTGGGAGGTGGAGGACATCCCGGTGAGTTGCGAGAAGGAAGCGGGCGCAGTGTGCGAACAGCTTTTCGTCCAGACCACCAGCCGGCGGCCGGATGGCAGATACACGGTCTCGCTGCCTTTCAAGGACCCCCAGGACATTCAACTGGGCCATTCTAGATCCATCGCGATGGCCCAGTTCCTCAAGAACGAGGCTCGGCTGCTTAGGAACGTTTCGTTGAAGGAGCAGTATGACGCAGTCATCAACGAGTATCTCGACTTAGGGCACATGCGCCCTGTCCCTCCTCCAACGGACAACGCCAATTTTTACCTGCCCCATCACGCGGTGCTGAAGCCGGACAGCACCACGACCAAGGTCCGCGTGGTCTTCAACGCATCCTGCCCGTCGTCCAACGGGAACAGCTTAAACGACGTACTTCACACGGGGCCCGTCCTACAGGCCGACCTGACTTTACAGGTGTTGAAGTGGCGTTTTTTCCAGCACGTTTTCAGTGCCGACATCACTAAGATGTATCGGCAGATTCTGGTCGACCCCGCACATACCCGGTTCCAGAGAATCCTGTTCCGCGATCCGGCAGGTGACTTGCGGGATTTCGAGCTCCAAACAGTCACTTTCGGGGTGAACTGTGCGCCTTTCCTGGCCATCCGCGTGCTCCTGCAGCTTGCCGAAGACTCCAAGGCGCAGTATCCGCTCGCCAGCCGGGTCCTCACGGACTTCATGTATGTGGATGACGTCCTGGCCGGAGCACATACGAAGCAGGAAGCACTCTCATCCATACGAGAGATACGAGCGGCTTTCAGCGCAGCAGGTTTCCCACTGCGCAAGTGGGTCGCCAACAACAAGGACATTCTTCGCGGCATCCCACCAGAGCATCTGCTGCGCGCCGACTTCTTAGACATTGAGGATGCCAGCATGACTAAGACGC